CAGCAAGATGGAGGAGCTGAACCACCGCGTTCATCAACCATCAAACGGGCCCGTTTTTAAGACAACTACACAGATCACAGGGATGGCCGCTCCGTCTCCTGCAGCCTCATGGTCCTATGAAATTTTAGTATGTTCAGTTCACCAAATGTTATTTCACAGAAACAAACTGTGCTTTCCGTTAGGTCTTCCATAAATATTTAAAATATTTTCTTTTCTTTGTATTATAACATTCTGACAATTGTCACATCAAACCATTCCCAAGAGATGGACATGTCTTACTACTTTGTTTTCCTTTTCGCTAGTGGCGCCCCTCCTGCTGCTGGCCTGTGACTGTGGGAAGGGACCTATTGGCGGAGTAACATCTGGGTTTATCCCGGTTCCTGAGGGCTCAGAAGGAACCATTCATCAGTGGGGGATCGAAGGGGCCCAGCCTGAAGACAAGGTGAGGAGCCAGTGTGTCAAACATTTATTTCCGTTATACAGAGTGAAGTTCTGTTAACATTCAGATAGGAAAGGGGATTGTGGGACATCAAAAGGGCCCTCAGGACCCTTGGGAGTCAGTGCTGCCATGAATGGCGCCTTTTAAGATCTTAGTTCTTCAGACGTCAAAAGTGGTTATTCCTGTAAGCCTTTGGGTTTCTTGTAATGTCACCATTTGCAAAGAGCCACAAAATCTGTGCGTGTTTTTAATGTATTTTTTTAACATGGTTTGCAGGAAATCACAAATATTTGTGTGCCACTTATAACCTCCAATGGAGCTGATTTCATGGAAAGTTCTGGTACGTGAACATCAAATTTATTTCTGAAAGTCACAGTGGGTTAAATAAGAAATGTTGAAAAGCAAGAAGTGTTCTAAATTATTTTCTCAATAATTTGCATATTTGTGTACATGCTGGGAGGTGGTACCATTAAAGATAGGGTTTTAATGAAATGGTTTATTTTTAGAATATTTGTCAATTTCGTGACCTAAATCTGGCTTCAGTAAAGTTCATTTGCCCACTGATGCTACTGTTTCTAACATATGAAGATTTGTTACTTTTCTCAAACTTTAATAAACTGAAATATAGCTCTCACACAGTCAGTTATGATGTTTTTGGAATAGAAAAGATTTCATCCATAGAAAGAAATATAACAAACACTGTACTACCACCCAACTTGAACTATTCTTTTTGTAGTTGTTGTTGACTATTACACATTTTTCCTTCCACCTTGCCCCCACCTCTTAGGCCTTTTCCACACTATTGTCTGTGTCCAGGGTTATGCATATGTGCCTATATGTTCGTTGGTTGATCTCTTCCTGTCCTCTCCACCCTCTTTCCCTCTGAGAGCTGTCAGTCTGTTCCATTTATCCTCTGGTTCTATCTTGTTCATGGGTTTATTTTGTTCTTTAGATTCCACATCTGAGTGAGACCATGTGATACTTGTCTTTGACTGACTGGCTTTGCTTAGCACAGTACTCTCTAGGTTCATACGTGCTGTCTCAAAGAGTAAGAGACCCTTCTTTTTCGCTGCTGTGTAGCATTCCATTGTGTGTAGTACCATAGCTTTTTTATCCGCTCATCGCCTGATGGGCACTTGGGCTGATTCCAGTTCTTAGCTCATCTAAACAATGCTGTGCGAACATTTTCCTCAGGCACCAGGACACCAAGCTAGCACCAGCTAATCTGCACGATCACACATGCGTGTCTCCTCTTTGGGTTTCAGACTGAGCCAATAGGGCAGCTTCATTACAATTTTCCCCTGAAAACACACAAGCATCGCATCAGAAGCTTCCCGCGGCGGTGTGCTGAGTGTTCTGTTTTCCCTTTTCCATTGCTGGCTGCTGTCTCTGAAGATCCATGTCCTCTGTCTGTTTTCAATCAGCATGTTTTCAGAGCTCTTTCACCAGTACCCTCTGCTCTACCCTCACCTCCGCGTTCCTCTCACAGAACAGACTGCGGGCTGCTCTTATCTCCACTAGACACAGCGCTGTGCTTTCTCCCGCCCATCTGCTTTCCTTCATGGCTGCTCCCGGATATCAGAGGCCGGCGTCTTAAGGAATCCCAGCATGAGCCGTTAGCGAATGTCCTCCCTGTGTTTAGATGTCTGCATGAATGCCTGCACCAGAGGGATGACGGTGGAAGGAGCGTCGGGCATGGAACTGACCACCAACCTGGGAGCGGCCGCGGGAGCTGGGGCCACCGCGGGGCTCGGAGCCACCACTGGCCTGGGCTTCTGCTCCGCGGGCCAGACGGGGACCATGCGGACAAGGCATTCCACAGGAGGGACCCACAAGGACTGTGTTGAAGGAGCGATAAGCATGAACTTCTTGGAGTCCTACTTTTCCCAGGTAATCCGGCGAAAAACTTCGTGCCTCTGTTCTCTCACTTACATTAGAGACCTTTTTCTACTTGACTATATTTCAGTTTTGCAGTTGCTTTTCAGCTTGCTAAAATGTAACCAAAAAAAAATGGGGCACTTTGCCTAAATAATACAAATAAACGAGGATGGCTGTCAAAATTGGGCTGCTGAAGGAGTAATAGGCAAACAGACTCGAATTTCAGGATCAGCAGCATCCTCTTTAGAAATACGAAGCAGCTTATTTTGTATTTCCTGTACCATAGAGGATGCCAGACAGAAATACTTTTACGAGAAAAGGTTATAGTATTCTTCACATTTTCAAAGCAGTCCGTGCCCAGAAAAGTTGAATAACCATTGAATGAATGACCCAAAAATAAAAGTGGGAGGAAGAGATGTGGTCAAAGACCAGTGAGCACAGAACCACGAAGGGACAAGGGCACCAGAACAGAGGACTCTGCGAGCAAGCTGCTTGCCTCCTGGTTGGTGTGTGATTAGAACAGATCTCACATCTAGTTTTGGTTTCAAACTGGTAGGTGCCAGGATCTTGCCCACAGATGGCGGCTGATGCTGCGTTTGAGGGTAGCCTGGAGGGAGGGCTTGCTTGGGAAGAGGAGGCTGGGACCGTCTGAGGCGGTGTGGGCCCAGGTTAAGGGCAGGCTCCCACGAGGGCTGTGGGGTCTAGGCCGAGGCCGCAGTCCGGCTGGGCGCTGTGATGATGGTGGGATGTCTCCTCCCCTCCCCCAAACACAAAGACACGCATGGGCACAAGTACACACAGGGACCTCACGCGGCCCGGGGGCAACCTCCAGGCTTCACACACATTCGTTTCTCAGGCCTACATCCATGTCAGTGCCTTCAAAGCCAAGAATTAGCACATGAGCCTCGGCCAGGCTCAATTCTGAGGGAAAGTCAACTACACTACTCTCCAAACACCAGAGAATTTCTGCTGAGATCGGTGGTAGGAAGGCTGTCTATGTCCCCGGATTACCCAAGTCGCACATTCCTATCAGACCTTGCGTGTGGGGGTGGGATTGCATTCTCCCGCTGAGTCTCTTTAAATTCATGCGCCCACTTTCCTCCACTTCAGAAAGCGTTCACCTGCGCAGAGGAGGACGGGGGCCAGGAAGCAAACGACTGCTTGCTCATCTATGACGACGAAGGCCTGGGGGCGCCCGGCTCCCCCGTGGGCTCCCTGGGCTGCTGCAGCTTCATTGCCGACGACCTGGACGACAGCTTCTTGGACTCGCTGGGCCCGAAGTTTAAGCAGCTGGCAGAGATCAGCCTGGGGCTGGATGACACAGGCAAACAGGCTCAGCTGCCCGCCCAAAGCGGCGGCGCTGGGGCGGGCGCCTGTGGCCACTTCGTAGAGATGCAGCACTCGGAACCGTTTAGGGGCCAGACCACGTCCGGCGGTCAGGGGGCTTGCGCTTGGTCTGCTTCAGGCTCTGTCCTCCAGCCGGCCATTTCCATCCCCGACCCCCTGCAGCAGGGCAGCTGCCTGGTGACGGAGACTTACTCGGCTTCTGGCTTGGCTTCTGGCTCCTTCCTGTGCCCTCCCACTGCGACCTTTGACCCACTTCTCACGCAGCAGAATGTGGTCGTGACGGAACGCGTGATCTGCCCCGTTCCCAGTGGCCATGGCCACCTGCACGGTCCCACCGAGCTGCGAGGGTCCTGTAACATGATCCTCACAGAAGACCCTTGTTCCCGTCTGATCTGACCGGAATGGCCTGGAGCAGCACCCTGGCCCCGTAAAGATATTCGGACCAAATTATCCTAATGGCATATTGGTCTCAGTTGGCACCTACTTGCTACTCTCAGAAAGGGATCAGAATCACAGTTGAAATTTTCTAGTTGAAGTGAAGGTGGTGCCACTGTTAATTCTCAAACACCACTCAGGTGGAAGTAAATGTTAATGCCTTTCAGAAAAGTCTTAACATGCTCAGTAGGAAAACTCCCAACCATTCTTGAACTTCTGCTTTTGCAGCGCCCAAGGAAGAAGTCCCTGGCTTTAAAATGCTAATGCTCTTTCGGGAGATTGAGCACCTGGAGCCGAGGGCCTGGTTCTTGTCTCTGTTGCCTTTTCTTGGGCCATGAATAGTGATGTACAAGTCTCAGTGCTGGCTCAGCACCCTGAGCGGCTCAGGAGGGGAAAAGAAAACTAGTCAGAGTTGATGTTTCCATCTCCTTGGTGCGGGAGACCCTAAGCGCATCTCTTCCCCAAGCTAAGGGCTAACTTGCTGCAGCTGTATGCCTCATAGTCTAACAATAAGACAGTTTTACCACGGAATGTTTAAGAACGTTTAGTAAGTTGTAAATAGTATCTGGGGTTTCTTTATTCATCTTGAAATGATCTCTGCAAAGAAAATGTTTTACACTGAACTCCTTCCTACATGCTTCTTAGTAACAAATCCTGTGTTAATAGTTTAAAATGCTCCTTATTTTTAAATGCCGGTGGGTAGAGGTTACTTACACATGTCACATTTTGATGTTTATTACGTATACAACGCCTACAGACTTTGTGGAAATACAGAACCTGGCTTTCTCATGAGCAAAAGGGGCCTCTGGCTAGGATAGCACGAGACGACATTCGTCAATATGTATTATAAGCAGCATCAGGAACATCGATTTTTTTCAAGCCTCGCTCTTTTTTTTTAATTATTAAACAGCTACAGCAATTTCACTCTTGACATAACAATGTTAAGTTAGTTAAGATTTAGGATATATTCTTTCACTGTGTTATCATGACAGCAATGTGCAGCTCACTACTCTAATTGTATATAAAATTCTCCTTTTTTTTTTTTGCCAGATTCAAAACTGACATTTGTTTTCCCAGATGGAATGCTAAGTAGTAAAGTGTTTATGTTTTCACCCCGAAGAGTGCATGCAGTCTTGAGGAGACCCTGGGGGAAAGAGACCCCTAAATGTCCTTCCATCCAGCATGCGCCCCTCTCCCCGTGCCCTAACTCCCGGGGCACTGCCAGCTTAGCCTGGGGGTGCAGGCTGCGTGTTCTCCCAGGCAGGGCTGCTGCTGCTGCAGGGCCTGCGGTGTGCTTGTCTCGGGTTGAGGGGAACTTAACCTCAGGGAGCAGCCTGCGGGGTCCCGAGGGAGTCGCTTTGCTATGACAACTGGGCACCCCTTCTCTTGTGTCTCAAAGACGCTTTCTCTGGGATCTTGAGCTGTGCCTTTGTTTATACAGAAGTTACGTTAATGGTCATAATTACCCTTATTCCGAGTTCAAAAGTGTACTCAGGATTCTCAAAGGGTTTTAACTTTGCCTCTTAAACCCACCTTCTCGGGACATGGGGTTTTGCTGCATTTGTCGGACTGAAGAGGAAACCATGCCTGGCAGGAGGTGCTGGAGTGGAATAACGGCAGTTCAATGTGTCTGAAACCGGAACACAGCAGCCTGTCTCAGGGGACCTCAGCTGATTCGCCATGTAAAATTACATCCACAGTAACAAATGCCTCTGTATTTTTTCATCAAAAATAAAAATTGTTTTAAGCAGAAAAAAATTTTTAAACTGTCTTTTTACTTGCTGTATCATCAATTTACAACAGTATATATTAAAACTTGAATAGTATAACATGGTTATAATAAAACTTTTGGTGACACACTTAATGAATACTTCCTTAACCATTCACTAAAAGCTGAACTGCTCTCTATAATCAATAGTTATTTAAAAACATGATATAAGAAAGTGACTTCCAATTTATGTTTTTGTCATTTTCCCAGCTGCCCCCTGTCCAGGCAGGAAGGACATACCAGGAGTCCCAGGACCTTCCTCAGGTGGATGCAGACGGTGCTGGTTGAGGTCAGGGCAAACTTGTGCTAACAGGGTGCTGTAACATGTTTATCATTTCTTTGGTAATCTAGCCTCATCTTTCAGGCAAGTTTTGACATTCTATGATGACTCAGAGAGAAAAGTTGGGATAAAGAGAAGGTAAAGTTTCCAGCCTAACACACTGGAAAAATATACCATGGCTCTCTGGGGACAGCCGTTAGCCACAGCGAGGGGGGGTAGGGGAGTTGCTAATGCTTGTCGTTTTATGTCTTTTTTTTTTTTTTAAGGAATGCCACAATGTAAGTCCCTTCAGAATGTCAGATCTTGCTTCTGACTGACCTTCCTCACTCTTAAATGCGGACTTGGACTTGGAGTGCAGGGGAGCAGACACTGGACTGGAATGGATGTTGAGTGAAGGAAGTGTACGACCTAACTCGGATGATCAACTCAATTTCAGGAAAAATGAAAGCCACGTAGGTAAATACCACCAGTTTCTCTCATTCTTAGAAAATTCAAGGAATAAAAATCTTAATTTTCAAAAGCCAAGAGAGTAAAAGGAATACATCCAACTGACTAGCTTCGATGTGACTAGAAATGAAGAAACAGGTGGAAGTTCAAGGTCTTTCCTTCCTGTTCTGGGCAACTCAGCCCTTTCTCAGCTCCTCTTCCGGGTGACAGAGAGAAACTGAGTCACAGGGTATGTGGTTAACACTGGTTCAACCGCACTGCCCAGGAGGCTCTGTGTCAGGGGCATGACTGATCAGAAAACAAGACAATCATTTGCATTGCCGGTGACAGGAGGACCCGCTTCCCAGGACGAATACTGAGATTCTGAGCTTTACCAGCCCCAGGCTGCACTGAGATCCCCTCCCTCCGCGGCCAGGCTAGGTTGGTGTCTTTACTTTCTTTTTTGTTAATACATTGACTTTTGGTTCTTTTTACAAATACAAACCAAAAAATCTACACACAGAGAGATGTTGCTAAAAAGCAAGCAAATGACAGTCTAAAAGAGCAAGTGTCAATGCATGCAGCGGCCAGAGTGGGGAGAAGCGAGACAGGGTGGGGGCTGCCTCCCAGACGGCCAGAGTGACAGGTCTCATTTAATTCTTAAAGGACCCTCAGCTTGCAGCCCCGAAAGCAGAGACTCTGGAAAAGCAAAGTGGCTTCCTCGAGGTCGTACAGCACTGTGACAGAAATGTAAAGGTCTGACTATAATTACTCAGCACTGCTGACAATTATTACTCTCAGAATAATCTATTTCAGCTCTGAGGTTTGAGTAGAACATGAAAATTTGGAAAGAAAGCAGTCAAAATTATTTTTAAAATATTTAAAATATTAGAATCTAGATACAATTCTAAAGATTAAAGAAGCCATATAATGTAGGGGTTGACATACATACAGGGGTTGACAAAATTAGGTTTACAGTTTAAGTATAAGAAAGAGTTTCTTCACTTATTATTATTTGTTAATTATGTATTACTAGAGGCCCAGTGCATGAAATTCGTGCACTCAGGGGGTCCCTCAGCCTGGTCTGAGCCCTCTCTTGTCTAGGAGACCTTGGGGGAATGTCCAACTAAGGGGAGGCAGGAGAGGCTCCTGCCACCACTGCTATGCTCCCCAGCCATCTGGCTCAGGGCTTGTGGCTGAGCAGTGCTCCCCCTGTAGGAGCACAAGGACCACCAGGGGCAGCTCCTGCATTGAGCATCTGCTCCCTGGTGGTCAGTGTGCATCATAGCAACCGGTTGCTCTGCCATTCGGTTTATTTGCATATTAGCCTTTTATTATATAGGATTACTACAACTGTAAACCTACTTTTGTTCACCCATGTGTGTGTGCATGTATGTGTACATAGAGAGATAGAGAACAAAGAGTTAGACATATCTCTCTTGTATATCTAACATTAAGAGAGAGAAAGAAGTAGAAATCGAGAGATGGACTAAAATAAATGCAAGTACATGATTTGCTGCTATTCTGAAGTATGTGTGAGGTTATTTTTCAGGGCACAATGTCCAGTTCTCTTCCATATTTAACAACAAAACAAGCTACATAGAAGTCATGTAATCTTTTTCAGTAAACTCCTTAAGAATTATTTTGACAGTACACTTTTTAGGAGAGGTTAAATAAATGTCTAGATATAAGCATAACTTCTTTTTAATTTGGTATTTGTAAATATTGTGAAATAGACACACAATAAATCTAGTTAACAACTGTCACTCTACATACAAAAAAATGTTTTCTTTTGTGATGAGTTTTAAGATTTATTCTCAGCAACTTTCAAATATGCGATTCAGTATTATTAATTATAGTGATCACGCTGTACACTGCTGCATCCCCAGGCTTATTTCATATACATATATATATATATATATAAAATTGATTTTTTACAGAGAGGAAGAGAGAGGGATAGAGAGTTAGAAACATCGATGAGAGAGAATCATCAATAGCTGCCTCTTGGACACCCCCTACTGGGGATGTGCCTGCAACCAAGGTACATGCCCTTGAATCAAACCCAGGACCTTTCAGTCCTCAGGCCAATGCTCTATCCACTGAGCCAAACCGGTTTCGGCTAGGCTTATTTCTTTTATAACTAGAATAATAAATTTGTACCTTTTGACCCCCTTCCCCCTCTCCCCCGCAACACCACCCCATCACCACCATCACCACCACCACCCTGGCCTCTGGCAGCCACCAATTAGTTCTCTGCATCTATGAGCTTGTTTTTTGTTTTGTTTTGTTTTTAAATTATAACTTTAAGTGGGTGCATTCATCTTAGTTTTCCCATGATTTGTGAAAAACAACACCTTTTAACTGCCACAATTATTTTACTCCTTAAAGCCAACTCTGTTAGGTCGCCAAAGGAGGAACGCACGAGGCCAGAAGAATGGTGAGGGATGAGAATTTATTCCATCATCCGCACACCAACCAGGAAGTCAGCGGATGATGGAACAAATTAATAATCCCTCACCATTCTGGCATCGTGTGTTCCTTCTTTGAAGATGTAATAATCCCCATTCCTCCTTTATTCCCTAGAAGTACATGGGACCATTGTATTTTTAACCAGTTAACTGCCACACATCCAAAACTGAAACCATCCCACATGCCACAATATTTTTAATTTAATTGTGTCTATAGACGCTTATGGTGTACAAAGTGTTAATATTATGCCTTAGAACACCTCTACTGTTTTCTGTGTGCTGAATTTTTCATTATTAAGTTAGCAAGCAGAAGATTTCATGTGAAAACACAGTACACCAGATTATGATAATATAAGCAAACCACCAATGCTGAAAGAATACATATGTCCTCATTTTTCAGAAAGCACAGGGAGCTTTTATATGGTTTCCCAATCAGGAGGAGATTGCAAAAAGCTTTCTTAATTATAAAGTGGTACAGAATCAGGTAATCCCATATTTACTTAGATGGCATACTGGCATGGTTTTCATTCCTGCAAGGCGGCATTTTTACTAAGCCAAAAATGAGTGTCTAAGACAAAATGTGAGACTGACTCCAGTTACATCTTCCCGTGTCCCCCTGTCCAACTGACCAGCTCTGATAGTGAGATATATGTCCTCGCCAGGAGGTAAAACACACACAAGCTCGCATCCACACACGTTTGCTTCAGGCAACCATGTCCTTGGCTTAGCTGAGGCAGGGTCTTTCTGTCACCGGCTCCACGGACTGGACACAGAAGACATACATGCACGAAAATGTCTCTCTCCATTTATTATTTACAATAAAGAACCATCTGGGTCTGTCAGCTTTCTTAGGTAGAGCAGAATGAAGGTGTCTTTTTTGACCAAACTTTTACATATTCTCATCCACATTTTTACTAATCAACTTTTTATTAGTAAGAAGAAAATGAAATGTGTAACAGAAAATGGAAGTATTAGTCAAAGGGTACAAAGATTTGGTTATTTAAGATGAGTAAGTCCCAGAGATCTACTGTATAGAACAGAGCCTACAGTTAATCATGTT